AAATTATACACCGAAAATAAATACATGGAGGCCGAAATATTTGATTATGCCATCCGAATAATGTCTGTCATAACAAATGACCAACCAGAAAAAATTGGAAAGGCAGTTCATATCTTGTGTTTTGTGCTACTGTATACAATAATAAGTGTGCTTACTCATAGCTCTGTTCTTTTTCTACCTCAATCTTCGACAGATTGCAAGAGTTTTATGTTGAAACTATACAACCTAGGGATGACATCATCAGACTACATTCCCTAAGATTTCTGTTTAAATTATCGAAGGATGAAAATTAATGGAGGTGCTCCTACCTCTGTTTCTAACCGCTCTAACGCAATATCATATCATCAGACACCGTAAAAAGACAACGTCAACCAAGCAGAAAGGTTTGAAGGCTCGTAGTGCAATGAAATTTAGGTGTTTTAGCTCATGACAGGACAAGCTAAATCTCCTATTTCTCTCACAACCTTCGATTTTAGTTTCAATAGTAGGGAAAGTGGGTCGGTCAACTTGTGTTGATCTGTACAGCTTGTTTTCCCTTGAAGAACCAGCTTCTCTTTCGAAATGCTCACCGATGGAGCTCATAATGTTTGTTTCTGTAAGGCGTTCCAGTAAACGATCACCCCACGTGAAAAACGGAATCTCACTCTTAATTTATTTCATCGTGGCTTTTCAACCTTTGTTCAGTGGCCTATCAGACGATTAGCTGTGGAGGAAGATCGGATATTTTACCACTTAGCTGGTCATTAAAGACACGGAACGTTAATAAAAGATCACTTAACGTTCAAATATAAGATAGAGGGAAGATGTACAGGCATCTTAGGAACCCATTATGATAGAGTTGGGAAACACTCACTACTAACGTGATTATTAAGCACTAGCCATACGCGAGTGAGATAGCATATGTACTCACGTATGAATCAGTTGACATGCTGCAATACTTTAGGTGTAGTCTCACATAGTTGGGGAGTAAAACCTGATCGAAAAAATTGAATACTCAACAGACTGAACATTCTGTCGCTTTCTATATTTAAAAATATGGCTAGATATGAAATTCTTCCAGTCCCTATGGAAGTGAGCCGAGGAAAGAGACACGTTAAATAGAGTCCCGAGCTGTTCTAAAATAGTATGTTACGGTCTTTTTACGTGTTTAACATTTTTTTCCTGGCATTCACACTAAAACGTTTTACGATCCGTTGAGAAGAACTAATCCCGGAAGTGTTTTCAACGCCACAGCGGTCTCTGAATTTACCTGTCGATCCGTGGCGGGCAACATGGGAGCTTACATGGGATGAACGTTGGTGTGACTTTAAACTTATTCCACTCATTTTCGATCGACCCATCTGCATTGCCTGGACAATCTGTTAAGACAGCACAGTCTCTTATTTCTAGAATTATACCTCATCGGACATTCAAACAGGACAAGGGAGATATATTTTGTAAATTTTTTCTGAAACCTAAAGTAAAGTACCATTTGGCCAGAGTTTGCTAGTGTGGGCAGCTACTGGATGCTGACATCACCAGTGTGGTGTCTTAAAAGATTCATGTCACGACAGATGTTTCGCGATACTTTATACAACTGTATACTGAAGAATAGCCATCAAAAGGCTGACGCCGAAGCGTACGCCTCAAGTATTACGCTCTATCAAGTTGATGAGTGATGCGTTGATACCTCCGACGATGAGAAAGCAATCATCCTTACTCCAAGTAAATATATGTTTAGGAATGGAGCCGTCAGCAAGACTACATAAGCTACCCTAAGTCATTCACTGATGACTAATCGATATCTGAACTTCCTTATACATCAAGCAACCTCATGTATAACACTATCATGCACATCCAATGGACACACTAAAGTGATCCCTAAAATAGAAAATAGGATCCCAATGTTCTAATTCTTGATTTAGCTTGTCTTATTATTCTGAACTGCCTATAGATATTGGAATAAAGCTTCATACATATATCATGGAGGCCGAACCATTCTCTTTTTTCGTAATATAGATTGAAGTTTGAAGGCTTGCAATGACCTTGAACTATTTCAACAAAAGTCGATACTTGCGTAGGTGTTTGTTCGAGTAATTTCCCCACTTTATTTCTTAACAGAAGCTCATTACTTTTAACAATATGGTGGAGGGCTCACTATTGCTGCATGAACTTTCCCGGGTTAGGACTAAACCGTTTTCTGTTTAAAGCAACTGCATCATCAGATGCTTTGCTTGTGAATCTATACTTATCTCTGAGCATTTCATATACATGTATCCCTTCACTTCTTTAAAGAGAAAAATCAAATATTGGCTCAGATTAGTACGAATTGACTGCCCATCGCTAGGTTCTTATCAGCTGCTTGCAACGTATAACATTTCATCATTAGAATTATCGTATTAATTGGTATATCTATGAATACGAATCTAGTTGGTGACAAATATTTGTATAAAAACGCAAAAAATGTTTCAATAAACATATAAAAAGAACTTGCTTCGTAAAATTAGTCTCTTTGACCTTACGAACTTTACTGGGATCTTTGCAACATCATGGCACACATTTATCTCAAACGACATTCGTGTCCATAATTATACCGATTTCTACGTTAATTTGATTTTAAAATGTTATGGGTTGCAAGCAGCTAACGAGAACCAAGCGCTAGTCTTTGTTGTTACCATTTAAAGACAGGTATCATCCTCGCTTATGCTCAGTTATTCTGAAAATTTTCAGTAAATCATGGAGTTACACTAGTAAAAAACTTGAGGATGAACAAATGGCAAATTAAAAAATTGTTAGCCTCTCAGGTTACATTTTGACAGCACGGCTGTTTTCTAAAGTATCTACCGTTCAATGTCACCTGTTTATCTAGTATATTAAGTCAATAACTATTTGATATGTCCTTAATAGTTGTCGTTTGTTGTATAAAAATACTTTATTTTCAAGTTTAATTATTTTTATTTGATCGTTATATATTGTGATGAACGACAAGATCAATCGGTCACGTCATTCATATTCATTCGCTTCTAATCTTCCCCTAAGCCTCGATGTTCAACGTCGTTGATACCTTCTCAACCGTGTTCTGTGATGTTAAGTCTTTTTGAATATTATTGATAAGGCTGTTTTTTTAACTCCCTGTCATCTTACCGATTCCACCTCATCATGCTGATGTGGTTTAAAAACCTAGGTTGATGCTCATATGTCCGACATCATGCGTTAGTTATTGTTGACTGTTCCAAGAACTTAGAATTGCAACCTTACCATAGGAAAGAAGCTAAGTTGGTCAGCGTTACGTATCGTGACCACCGTTGCGTCACTTTAATACGTTTTCCTTGCAATCCTACTGTCCCAAGTTTGTTTGCTTCAAGAGCACTTAGGCTAAAGCTTTGATCTTATCTACAAGAAGGGTCGTATTACTGACTTTACCGGGTTTCAACAGCAGTAGTGTCTCCCTTAAACAGTTAGCATCAGCCATGATGTTTTACGGACAGAAGAAAGGGTTTAAAAATATTTTGCAATTATAACCCCCTTCGCTGTTCCGTAGAATCATAACACCAGGTTGGTCACTCAGTCATATGCAATGTTATACCTGGCACGTCTTTCCACGTAAGCATCACATAGTCAAAACTAGACGGAATCATGAAGACAAACCTCAGAATAGTAAAGCTAAAAGCATTATAAGTAAAATTAAAATGGATTAGGTGTAGATGATATGATTAGAAAATGAATAATCAATTAGTGGAATAATAAACAAGTTTAAAACGATAAGACGCAAAACCTTAGGGCATGTATATGACAAATTTAAATTGAATCGAGAACTCTGATAGACTCTACCAAATGATATTGGCTATTCTAAAAATTCTTCTTAAGCTTTCACTTAGCCGGTAATGTTTGAGCAGAAATCTGTGTCAAAATTGGTTCACTTCTTTCGTACGTCTTTCGATGACAGACACTAATGTTAAACTTATCTTTCAACCAAGTCAAATAACTCTTTATTCAGGAAATATCACTGATGTCATACGTCTGCAAGTGTCAGTGCTTCATCTCTTAAATCAAAGCAAACATTCATACACTACATCCACGTTCAGGTCCTAAAGCAATTCGGTCTTATATGGGCATCGAATAACTATCAAGCCTAGTGCTTTAAAAGCTTTTCGTCACCGACTTTTGTGATTTCATACTGTGTTTTTCGTCTTACTAACTGAGATGGTCATTCAGATGGTATTACCTCCAGTTTAAACTTCTGAACCCTAATCTCTCCGATAAATACTGATGCTTCTACTATCTCTACTACTGTGGGATTTGAAATGACAGTTGCGTCTGTGTGCTGATGTGGTATGGCTACATGAACTGATTTATCTACGTACGAATTTCTCCGTCGTAAATGACTGAGTTATCGCACTCTGACTAATACCTCAGTCTGTCTAACTGCCCAACCGATTCCATCATTCCTAAGGTTCTCGGGTCAGTCCTTTAGCGCCAAATCGGTTGATGGAGTTATAACTCTCTTTCGACTGAAGTTGTCGGAATATGTACTACGTATTCCTGGACCACTCTCCACTCATACACAATGATGGCTGCTGTTGAAGTAAGTTTGACGAAAGCTAGTAATGGCCAAATCAAAAGGTTTCGTCAGTCCATGCATTTGTAGACCAAGTAGGTACGGACTAAGTTGGATTTCATGCATATATGCCACGTCGCGTACGACAGAGTGACTATCTGGACCCGCTACCCTCTCTCACTCTACATTAGCTATAGTCTTTTCAACTACATTGAGTTTCAAGCCTTTTTCAGTCTTCCGTTATATTTGTTTCAGAATAGTGAGTAGCTGGAGGGCAGTTGAAGTATTCGATCCATCGTTCTATTGTCTGATCTAGGAGGCTATGGATCCTATCTATTCTGGATATAGTTTCACCAACATTTGACTTTTTACTATCTGTTCTTGTAATAAATCCAAAAAGTTGTCTATCATTATCTATTTCAGTCACCTTTTCTATCCTTCACTCTCACCGTCCACTACTGCTCACAGTTACTACCTAGACTTTTTCATGTTAGGTCTATGGCTGTTTCTAAGTTCATCGACACTGACACACATAAAACTAAATTGCAAGGATCCAATCATTGAGCCCAGTTTCGAATCCAGTTTTTACTAAATGTGTATTTGAAATCTTGTGTTACAGGTGTGCGCTGTCCCTAAAACTCATATACATCCTACCACCAGCTTTTTTACCTTTTTTAAAATAATAGACACAATTGGAAAACGTTTAGACATGACTTCTGGGATTCTTCAATTAACCAACTGTCCACTTCAGCTATGTTTAGACATCTATTTTTTTTCTGGTAAACATTGGGTTTAATCACAAAAATTGCTTAAAAATGAACAGGAACGGACCATAGTGGTATCTATTATCAATGGAAGAGATCACGTTTACTTTCAAAGCACGTGTTTGAACTCCAAAGGAACTCTTGAGAAAACATGTATTTATCCTTATCTTTATCACTGGCTGCTTATCAATTTCAACAGGTAAGCTTCCCTGAACTCAGTCCAAATATGGAATTGTGGAGAATACTGAAAGTTTACGAGCTGAGTTAAAGAAGCGAGATTTGATCTTAAGTCGATATTGATTTTTTCCTTCATAAGTTACATCTGGGAATTCCACATCTAAAGCTTTCTACCCTTCTATCGCATCTGTTCTGTTTGAACTATACTTCTCACATTTAAATTTAAACTGTCGTTGATATTATTTCCTCCTTTTACTTCTCATCTTATTGACTTGCTTCGTGCGGCGATGAAGTGAGACATAGAAACCTAAGTTGTTTATGTCACATCCAATTTGGAAGGACGCTAAAGAACGCTTCAACTCGCTTCCAGCTTCTATCTAACCAAGCATGGATATGCCTCCTCGTCTGTCACTCGATGAGACTTGACCGTATATATTCTAACTGTGCTGACCTAATATCTGTTGTTTCTATGAGACATCACGTTTACACAGAAGTACCTACAATAGTAAAAAGCCGTCTTTTCTACAATAGCTTTTACTGTTACCGAAAGCAGCAAACTTGGGCAGCAGATATTTTGTATAAATAGTTTATAACCATGGGAAAACACAGTCTTAACTTATTTATAGGTTAATTAACCATTTAGAGGATAGATAGCGTAATTATTTTCAATGATCGTTTAGGTTTTGCATGCAGCCATATTCTTGGTTAACCAGCATGCATGCTGCACATGCACGCCGCTGCATTTTAAGCAACACAAGGATTCTCACAAGAGCCAATATTGCGATCACCCCTGCCCCATACGGGAACGCACATGTTGTCTAAATTGGTCTGCAGACAAGTGGACGTCCAAAAAGCACGCACACGAGCAGTGGCCCCCGTTCGGGCACTTATGAATCGACAAGATCCCTCCAACCAATCCACTACCCACAATCCCCAATCGGCAGGGCGGGCTTTCCCAGCTACACTTGGCGCCCCGAACGGATTACCGAGCCACCCAGCAGCCATTCCAACCGTCTGGCCTCCAACTGCCTTGCGCTGATACAGTCGACCGTAGCCCTCAGACCTCAAACGAAGCTAAAGATCGAGTTTGTCCCACAAGGTCAGCCGGAATGTACACCCCCCCATGGGGAAGATATCATGGACTCGACCAAGTGCAAGCACTCGGCCAACCTGGGTTAATCCCATATAAGTGGGCAGACATCATTGGCGTCCAGTACCCTTTAGCACCGGATCACATAACCCAACTGGAGATCCTTGTTTAAGGGGCCTCCACCCCAGTTCACACAATACATCGAGATGCAGAGTGTTCGGGACAGGCACATAGGGTCGGCGTCAATAGTCCAGAATCTTTACGGCTACTTCCGCAAACCAATCGTCTAGTGCCGCCTTCAAGTATCCTGGAAAGCTATTATCCCAATATTTCAAACTTTACGTACGCTCGATGGACGGGATTCAGACCTGGAGGCGTTCAGTGCTAATCCCACGGAGTGGCTAACTGTATCCACGGCCTTGCAACTATGAACACGTACCATTATTCTTGACCATCCTAGGCATGGTATCCTATGCGTTCGGAATGACCCTTTTGATATCAGGGTCTCGTTGGGTTCCACAAAGTGTCACCCTGCCGTCAATACCTGTATGTTTCAGAGATTTAAACCCTTTTGTTATCAGGGTCTCGTTGGGTTCCACAAAGTGTCACCCTGCCGTCAATACCTGTATGTTTCAGAGATTTAAACCCTTTTGTTATCAGGGTCTCGTTGGGTTCCACAAAGTGTCACCCTGCCGTCAATACCTGTATGTTTCAGAGATTTAAACCCTTTTGTTATCAGGGTCTCGTTGGGTTCCACAAAGTGTCACCCTGCCGTCAATACCTGTATGTTTCAGAGATTTAAACCCTTTTGTTATCAGGGTCTCGACGCCAGTTAACACGCTAAACGGAGGTTTAGAATGTTCGGGGCCACCCCATAGGGTCGGTTGCCTTGTAGACCAGGAACCTTCATCTTCTTACTTGAGAAAATCTCCCGAGGCCGCCTTAGGATCACTGGATCTGCGCCCCTTATAAGTTCATTTGCTAGAGCAAACCGCAGGTTCCACATAGTGTCACCTATCCGTCAATTTCGTTAAGTTTCAGAATCACCCCCTTTCACTGATCTTGGTGAATAGCAAAGTGAAGTTTCGCCCCTAATAGTACAGTACTTGCCCTCGTCTTATTGCCTCATGTAGGCATCATATCAGATGGACGATCCGATAATCGTCTACTCTCATAGCCAGGCTACCACATGCCTATGTAAGCCTAGTCTCAAGAGACCGGCCTCTGATCTGCTATCCATGATTCCTCTCATCGTTATTACTACTGGAAGGTGTCGAGTCACCTTCACTAGCCCATCAACTTTGTTGACAAGCAAGCGATAACGCTCGTTCAGTTCATATGTATTGTATTTTCTCATCTTCGCGTTCCAAGACGCTCATAGTCTCAGCCGCACAGATAATACCATCAATAACCCACGCTACATCACCTTTGTAGGCGATTAGGTCAGGTTAGGAATACGAGCCTCACTCAACACTGAGTATCCTACACGTCTCAACGATCCTTCAAGCTTTGAAAATACCCGGTTATGCCTCGCGATTCGTAATCGCTGGACACTTGCAATTTTGTAAAATGTGGGTGAGAGATTCCATCTTCCTACACACCCCGGAGGCAGTTAAGGGGTTTTTGACCGTGTCAGCCTCTCGCGCGTCGCGCCTTAGTTGACAGGTTACTTCCGCGTATCTGAATCGCTTTTTTATGTATCCAGGAGAACATACCCTCTGAATTCGATATCCAACGGTGGGCACTTTTACATTGGCCTTCTGTCTTCAGACCCTTACCATCTATAGTGTTATAAAGGTTTCGTTTACACAATTCACGTATCTCAGTTACGTCCCCGATTGTTAGGCCAGCTATCTTAATCGGTCGTGTATTCCGGTGCTAAAGGGTACTGGACGCCAATGATGTCTGCCCACTTATGTAGTGGGATTAACCCTGCTTGGCTGAGTGCTTGCGCTTGGTTGAGTCCATGACATCTTCCCCATGGAAGGGTGTACGTTCCGGCTGACCTTGTGGGACAAACTCGATCTTTAGCTTCATGTGGGGTCTGAGGGCTCCGGTCGATTGTATCAGCACAAGGCAGTTGGAGGCCAGACGGTTGGAATGGCTGCTGGGTGGCTCGGTAATCCGTTCGGGGTGCCAAGTCTAGCTGGGAAAGCCCGCCTTGCCGATTGGGGATTGTGGGTAGTGGATTGGTTGGAGGGATCTTGTTGATTCATAAGTGCCCGAACGGGGGCCACTGCTCGTGTGCGTGCTTTTTGGACGTCCACTTGTCTGCAGACCAATCTAGACAACATGTGCGTTCCCGTATGGGGCAGGGGTGATCGCAATATTGGCTCTTGTGAGAATCCTTGTGTTGCTTAAAATGCAGCGGCGTGCATGTGCAGCAGGCATGCTGGTTAACCAAGAATATAGCCAAATGCCTCGTCATCTAATTAGGGACGCGCATGAGTGGAGTAACGAGATTCCCACTGTCCCTATCTATTATCAGGCGAAACTACGCTCAAGGGAACGGGCTTGGCTGAATTAGCGGGAACAGAAGACCCTGTTGAGCTTGACTCTAGTGCGAGTTTGTGAGGAGACGTGATGGATTTACTATAGGTGGTAGCTGGGTGCTTTGCTGCTCGGCGTAAATGAAATACCACTGCTATCATTGTTTCTTTAATTATTCAATGAAACGGGAACGAAATTGTATTTTGGTTCAATGCACGTGCTTCTCACCAACACCATGCATTGGTCGACATTCAGTTGATTATCACAGTATCCACTGAATCAGCTCACATTCAAAACAATCATGATTCAATTTTAGTTGTCGTTCCATCATTTCCCTTAGCAATATTGTGACTCAAAATTGCAACGAAATGAAGAAGTCCAACTTACATTAGGTTCACATGAACTCAGTTTGTTCTGGTCTTCTGATTATTGTTATGATTATAGTTATTTGATTACTATTCGTTTTGTCCTCCTGCAATGCATACAAATTTCAGTGTACTTTTCTGATTACTCTTTCTTCGTTTACAGAATGAATGATAGAGGAATTCCTATGCTACCTCCAAGATGGTTGAAATGTCCGCGCATGGGAGACATGATACTAGATATATTTATTCCATTCAAAACACCCTTAGATAATAAATTCGATCATTTCATTGATCCTGAAGACGTATTTCACGTAGATGATGTGTTTAAAACAGCGGAACCGGTAGAGCTCTCTCACTAAACAAATGTTTATTCTTTCAGTACAAACTCGGTCTAATTATCGACTTAACAAAATCTCGTAGGTTTTATAATCGACGTGAAATAACAGAACATGACTGCAAATATCTAAAAATAGAATGTAAAGGAAATGAAGAACGACCAACACCAGAACAGGTGAATCTTTTCACTCAAATTGTTAATCAGTTTCTTGACAACAATACTGGAAATCAGAAGATAGGTATGTATGATTTTTATGAATGACTCTGTTTTTAAGGGGTTCATTGTACGCACGGATTTAATAGAACGGGATTTATGATTGTTGCTTATCTTGTTGAAGAGCTGAACTATGGGTATGTTTGGTCAATCCTTTCCAATATTGTAACGTTTTAGCGTCGATATAGCGGTTCAGATATTTTCGGATGCTAGGCCTCCTGGAATTTACAAAAAAGATTATTTAGAAGATCTCTTCACACGCTATGGTTGTATTGAAGATTGCCCACAGGCTCCTTCACTTCCTGACTGGTGTACAGGTATATTGAGGTTTCAGTGCTAATAACATTCCAATAAATTATGAAATTTCACATCAGTGTTCTGTCCGATTTATCAAATAATACGTAACTTTTTGAAGACAGATTTCAAAACTGACAGCAAGTGTTGATAGAAATGTGTTTTAAAGGCTCTAGTAATCGTTGTTAATATATCATCCTCAATCTTAACATTCTGTTCATGATTATAACATCTTTTTAAACTTTTGAGTGGTTTCGTTCACAAAAAACAACTATTATCATCTAATACTTTCACTCAATGAAACAATAATTATTAAGTATTTATATATACCTCCAGAACATAATAGAATGAAGTCCTAGACATTACGTAGATTCATTGTTTCATAATTCTGCGCATTCTTTAGAAATATCCTATAGTAACCAATCACTTACATTAACTTTTGTTATCTTTCTGAACATCTAATGTCAGTCAACTACAATGTAGAACTTCGTACGTACATGAGCATCCAATGTTGTAAATATCATTCTGTTGCTAGCTTTATAATATCAGATACATGTCATTAAGATTTTTGACAAAACTTTGTTCACATAGCTTCTAGAAATTTCCATAACTCTAACTATTCAAAGTTATATTTCTACCTCGTTCTTAGTTTCATCAGCACCAAATTGGTGGTAATTTACCTGTCCTACAACAGTATTTCGCACCGAGGCATATTCAGACTATAAACTTTATCAATACATTAGTTAACCGAGTGGGATTATTTGTTCTGCCGCGGTGATGACTTTTTAATTATTGAAATGAAACAAAGAATAATTGTGGTTTTCGTTTCCGTGTTTATGTATAAACTAAATAATATGCGATATGTTTTTCGGAAACCATGGACTTTCATACAGTTTCTTAAATACCGCAGAATAAGAATTGACTTATCTGTTCAGAAATTATGAATTAAGTCTATACAGACGGGTAGTCTTCGGCTAGCTGTCTTTATTTCCTTGAAACCAATATCTTTTATTATTTTTACTTTAGTTCTACAAGTGACTAGCACTTCTATGAATCAAAACACTTTTAAAATTCATTTTTAGAGAATGAAGAATACAGTTCTCATACATCAGCTAAGAGAAAAAATGAAGAAATATGTGCAGACTTTAATGATCAAGAAACAGTTTCCTCATCAAAAATATCACGCCCAAGCAACCATATGGAAGAAGCTACGCCTTTTAGTATCCCCACAACCAGAAACTTTCCTCCACCACCTCCAGGGAATCCAGATTTCATGGAAGGGGTTTCTAAGGTTAGTGTTTTAGCACAAGACAGTCCAGAAGCTCATGAGGCACGCGATTTATCGGACAAACTATGCAAAATGGGTGGCTTTTTATATGTGGAAGGTCAGTTGTTTCCCGCAACCGATTCAACATCTGAAAATGAGCAAGAACCTGAGAATTTAGAAGCAAATCACAGCGGCAAAACGTCCAAACCTTCTAGAAGACCTTTACGCTTCAGGGGTAGCCAGCCAGTCTCCATAACACAAAGAAATGTAGCAGCTCTGGTCAACTCTGATTACTGTGTAACGTACAAGGCTGATGGCAATCGTTATCTTATGCTCATAATGGGTCCTGGTCGTGTCTATCTTATTGATCGCGGAAATTTCGTTTATAAGCCAAATGTTTTACATTTTCCGACAGTATCATGGGTTCGTGAAAATGAAAAACGCTGTCCAGGTTCCGGTCGTCCAGATTTCCTAAATGATCCTGATGGTCACTTAGTTAATACTCTTTTGGACGGTGAACTTGTACTTTGCCACGACCATTCCAAACCGCCGAACATATCCACCTCAGAAGTATCAGGAACACCTAGATTCCTAATATATGATATAATTACTTTAAACAATAAACCCATTGGTCAATTTGCATTTTTTGAACGTTATTCTACAATTGACAAACAAGTTATATGGCCGAGGAATACCGGTGGTCACTTGGGATTAGTTGACTTTAGTGCGCAATCTTTTTCAGTCAGACGAAAAGCATTTCGCGCACTGCAAGATACTGAAGAGGTAAAATTAACTACTATATTTCTTTCATTCTGATAATAAAATAGACAAATCTGTTCATAACAATCAGTTGTAAGTATTAGTGACTAAAGTGTACTCCTGTCAGTCAGTCAACAACAACAGAGAACTCCGTAAGTACGTACATCAGTTCAAGTTGCCATACCACAGCACAGCGATGCAATTGTCACTTCAAATCCCATAGTAGTAGAGACAGTAGAAGTATAGGTTACAATGTACTCCTGTACATAATACTACTCCGTAGTTTAGTCTAAATTGCAGAAGAGTGGGTCGGTTCACTGAAAATAATTATAATGTCACTTTTCTTTCAAGTAGGTCGTTATTGTTTACTTTGGGGATTTTAAGCTGGTTTCTTCATACACACTACCTAAATTCACATATCATTGACTAATGATATGTTTCATGATTTTAGCTACTCAAACCTGCATTCTTGCAAAGCCTGGACCACTCAACGGATGGTCTCATATTTCAACCTTGTGGTCCTGAAGATTTTTATGTGCTTGGAACCTGCCCGCAAACGTTAAAATGGAAACCGCCAAGTATGAACACAATCGACTTCAGATGTAAAATAGAATATCAACGAAAAGTTGGGTAAGATTATAAGTTCGTTTTTTATCACGGGTTATGTAAGTCCATTCTTGTCATATGATGTAGAGAATTGAGATCATAAAAAAAAATTTGCTCCTAGTACCTTATTTCTCAGTGAGCAGCAAGAAGATAAGAACTGGCTTGTGACTATTATTTAGAAACAATAAAACTTTTTGTAAGCGTCTATAATCAACCTGAAATTACAACGGAAAAACGGTTGGGTGGTTACTCGTGATTAGTCCGACAACAGAATAAACCGACCAATAAGATTATCCAAACCACGTATCGTATATAGTGAAGTATAAAATCTGCTTCATCCACTTAAGGCCTAAACTACTGATTTCCAGTTTATCTACATCGTATCAATGAATTTGTGTAGTAGCAAATCACGAAAAATCGAAATACAAGACTGGTAACAAACTGTGAATCGTAAAATCCATTTAGATAGACCATAATGTGGTGAAATAAGATTTTAATCATGTCATAATTATTGGGCTAAAGAGTAGTGAGTTATATCCACAAAAAAGGCTAAGAAAGGAAATGTTGTCATTGCTCTATGCGTATGCACTTTCCATAATGTATGCGAAGAAAAAACTCTGCCTATGGTCCTCCTAGGATCACTTTCGTTACCGAACCCAGATAAACGAGGAGGGCTAAGCTAGGCATTAAAAAACCCAGCCCGTAGAAAATTAACTCGCTGAAAAACGCTAGTCAGAAAAAGTTATTCAAACCATTTAAACTCTACGTTGCGACTTTTCATTTAGAAAAGTTGTGACGCCTCTAGGTGAAAGCTGAGTTTCTTCGAGAGTCACGAGGCTGATGTCCTTCCAAACAAGCAGAACAACAATTAATATAGGTAAATACAGAGTTCGCACAATGTGGGAGACCGTGAGAACTATTCAGACTGATGAGGGAAAGAAAAAATACAACCTAGTGCTATGTGGAATAAGTGAAACGCGTTGGATGCATGCTTGACAAAAAGACGCGCCTCAGGAAAGATGCTGTTTTAATCCAGTCATGAAGAACAAAACGCCACACAAGGAGTTTTACTGATGCTATCCAAAGAAGCGTAAAAAGCACCCATATGATGGAAGTCTCATGGACCCACAATCATCAAAGTATCTTTCTATACAAAAATGCTGTGCACCAGCGTTCAACCAGTCAGTTTACATTCAATACATACGTTACTGTGAAAGTAGCGATAGCGTATCTTCTATGTTTCTGTGTAGTATTCACTTAAATCACTATCAAACGAGAATAGACTTTCTAGAAGTTATTATTTTCGAGAGAAAATTATCGCAGTCCTCTTTGGTGTATAATAAATAAAAGGTCACACATCACCGTAACCTGACTTAATTATCGAGTTATGTAACTGTTAGGTAGTTATTTAGTAATGTTATTATTTTGAGTATCATAGTGGACAAATGAAAACATAATAACTATGTACTTACCATAATATTCAAAAGTTTGACCACCAATACCTAATAACGTTAGTAAATAATACAATAAAAATTTCATTCTTATTACTTTAGTGAAATTCCTGGTTATATTGGACACCTCTATCTGGGTGGTCTTACGGTGCCGTCTGCCAAGCTTGCACATGTTAGTTCACGTGATAAGGTCCTAGATGGAAAAATTGTAGAATGTGTATGTGTTCCTGGTGTTGGTTGGAAAGTCCTACGTGTACGCACTGACAAAACAGAGCCCAATTACCACAAATCAGGGGTCGGTAAGTTTTTGTTACTGAATTATTTCAAGGAATGAATTGTATATCAATAAGATTATAATTAAGAAGGGGATATTTTAAATCAATTAAAACCATAGAGCATTATCAGTAGGATTATTCGTCTCAGTCATTCATAGATAAAGTGCAACATGATATGATTGTGCACACTCGCGTCACATTTCACATCAGCAAATCGACAGTAAGAAATTAACAAGATTAAGGTAGAAGAAATATTACATTTGTTGGTAAGCTGAACATTTGTTCAAGATAATTTGATCATGAGTTTGGAATGACTCTTCAAGATTTAGAGAATAGAAAAAATATAACACCGCAGTGGTTAGTTCATGACTTTGTCACGCAGTGTACAACCATAGATGGTGTTTATCCAAAACAGGAAGTCTTCACCAGTCTAATAGCAATCGGGTGTACGGACAGATATATATATATATATATTAGTCTAATCATTTCTAATATTGCTTACTTCTAAACCACCTACGTGCGTCGGAGTAGGCTGTGTATGGGTATATGTGACATCCCAATTACTAAAGGTCTAGAACCTTATTAATCAACTTGTCATTTCCATATTCGATCTTACTACTAGCCACATCACTCACTTGTTAGATCCACTATACGCGAACAACGATTTAGGAATACATGGTCAACTGCTGGCACCTACTCACTCACTTACCTATAACCCATTTATCGAGTCAGTCAGTTGCAACGTAGAACTTAGTACGTATTTACATAAGTTCATGTTGCCATACCACAGCACAGAGACGCAAATGTCAAATCAAATCCCATAGTGATGAAGGTAGTGGAGGTATTAATGGTAATGAAGAAGACTAGGGTTCGAAGATATTATTCAAGAAATATAATTCAGTGAGATAAAGTTAGAAAGACAAAGGTAGAGGTGCTGACGAATCCAGAAGATTAGGATTTGAGAGAGCTCAAAGAGTGGATGCACCTGCGCCATTGCAAACGATTTTGAGCCATGTCGTTCAAGGTCTCTAACCATTGATGACTTTCGTCTCGCGGACCCCAACCAGGTAGTCTACATCTACCAACATGACTCAGTCCACTTGTCAGTGACTTCATGGATTTGTGCCATGTTTTGGTCTGGGCGCCCACAAATTTCTTCCAACCTACTCCTACACCACAAAACATAGCTCGTCGAGGCAGTCGGTGGTTAGGCATTCGTAACACATGTCCCAACCACCTCAACTGATGAAGTTTCACCACTTCATCAATTGATCTGCCATCCTTACCTAGCACCCGTTTCCTAACGACAGCATCGCTTACTCGGTTGTCCCACGGTATACGAGCAATGCTTCTTAAACATCTATGATCGAATACTAGTAACCTACGAACATCTACTCTTAACGGCCATGTTTCAAAGCCATATAGGAGAACGGAACGAACTGCTGCGCAGTACACTCGTCCTTTGGTTAGCGAACGGATATCACGCCTACGCCATAAATGACACAGGTTGGCAAAAGCCAATCAAGCTTTCTGTATCCGCGCTGAGATTTCATCGGTCACCAGGCTATCAGCACTGATGAGACTCCCCAGATAAGTGAAGTGATCAACACGCTCGACTACTTCACTCCCTATCACTAGTTCAGGTACCGATGCAACGCAGTCTTGAAGCAACATTTTGCATTTCGAGGGTGAGAACCGCATCCCGAACATGCTTGCATTGTTGCTTATGGTAGTCAGAAGACTGCATTTTGTCAGCGTCTTCACCGAATAGAACTATGTCATCGGCATATTCTAGATCAGTAAGCGATTTCCCTGGTAGAAGGTCAACCCCTGAAAAAACTGACGAGCTTAATGTTAACTCTAAGAGGATGTCTACGACAAAGTTAAACAAGAATGGAGAGAGTGGACAGCCCTGACGGACACCACTTAATGTAGAGAATTCAGATGACAGTTCGCCATAAGCTCTCACTCGACCAGTAGTGTTCGAGTAGAGTGCTTGTATAAGGTTAATGTACTTCTTTGGTACACCTTTCAATGATAGACACTACCACAGAACCTCACGATCCACTGAGTCAAGTACCGCTTTTAGGTCCAGGAAGACAACTATTGTAGAACGCCTGAATGTGTGTCTGTGTTCCAGGACCTGTCGTAGTATGAAGATGTGGTCTATACAATCACGTCCAGGTCGAAAGCCAGCCTGGTTTTCTCGAGTCTGCTCTTCACGAGCTCTAGTTAGACGTCTAAGTATAATCGAGGCTAACAATTTAGAAACTATATTAGTTAGACTAATTCCCCTGTGATTGTCACAAGAGGACTTTTGTCCTTTCTTGTAGATTGGGACAATTAGCGATTGAGACCAGTCAGATGGGATTACTTCCAGTTCCCAGATTCTACCTAGGATCTCGGTCAGTCTAACTGTTAAAACTGGACCACCATCCTTAAACATCTCAGGGGTAAGCCTATCAGGACCTGCTGCTCTACTTCGCTTTAGATTTCCTAACGCTTTCTCAACTTCATGTAGACTGATCCCTAAAATGTTCTGCCCATCGATCCAATCTCCTGGATTGAGAATAAATGATAGAGCCATCCTTTTGTTAGATAGTCTCACTCACAGGCAACGACGATTGTCCTTATCCATCCGAGTCGGACGGCGCACTATCTACAGGGATCCAGTCTAGGAGAGATTGTTCTGCCCTACGACTCAATACTATACCTACACCAGCGAGACCCCTGGAAGCAGCATTAGGGCTACCGGATACACGAAGGGTAAATCGAGCCGCTTCTTGATCTTGACATGGTGAGGTCAAGTGAATGATGCTACTCGGATCCTGTATGCGCGTTTCCGAAACGCAGCACACATCGATGGAACGAGATTCTAAAGTCCTAGCTAAATAAGCCTGCTGCCCTATTTGACACAATGTCCGTACATTAAATGATCCAACACGTAGTTTAGAACGGAGTTTAAGGAGACCAGGAACGACGTTTCGTGAACTCGCATCGTTTGCATTAGCTGTGCACTGTGATAAATGAATGTGAGAACAGTTAGTCGTGGAGATAAGAGAGGTATTAGGGGCTGTAGGAAGGATTTGATCTTGACCAATTCGGTCTCGCGTGCTGTTACGGGTATGAGGGCGGTTGTCACTTCCCGGCTGCCCACACCGTGGAAGGTTGTTTCTTGAGGGACCTGAAAAGGAAGATGGATTAGTGTTGGTCTTAACGACCTGGGTGCGTGACCGCAGAGTTCAAGGGAAAACTGCTTGAGGCCGGTCACGCACGGCCTTTTTATGAGAAGTTTTTTGAGTGTTAGCTCCGCTCTTGAAAGCCCTTAGTGGACACCCTTACGGACGGAGACGGAAATCCGTGAGGTAGTGTGAGGTGTGACATTTTTAGGGTCGACCTTTTCTAACCCTTCCTTCCTTGTGAGAAGGCAGCATCGCTGCAGATGCTGGTTGTCCGAGTGAAACACCTTACTGCTGTCACACCCCTCTGCAGTCAGCAGTACGACTTCGCCCTCAGACCTTGGGTAGCTGCTTTTAGTCTCATCGTTCTCCAATCGACCTGCCTGGCATGGTAGGACCTGCAGGAACATAAGTTCCAGCCAATATAGCTCGGTTGGGTCATCACGATAGGCAATCCCGACCACCACATCAAGGTAGCAGCTTCGGTCGGGTCCATTTATAGAGTACATGGGTTTGAGTCCCACTGCGTGAAGGCTAGTGTTGTTAACCAGCTCCCTAAACTGAAGTAGTTGGTACAGAGCTAGTTGGAAGCTGATTACTTCAATCAGTAAGGCATTGCTTCAGAATTTACTTCCGAAAGCCATTTTTCAGATGCATAGCAGTACAGATTCGATTGCTACCCATTATACTTGCCGTTCAATAGGCAGGAACATCTTACCAACATTACAGATGTACCAGTTTGGCAAAGATCAAGCAAGTGTGTCCATGCAATGATTTAGTCAACCACCAACCCATCGGAACTTCTGAGATAAAAAAGGTCAGCCATGAAGAATTACTTGTGAAGAAATACATACAACAATTTTAACCTTGTTCACAGTTAACGTAAACATTTTAATAGTGAGAAATAAACCCCAGTATTCACGCAAATAACTACACCTCGGTACCCAGTTTTACAGATTCTCCACAATTATGTATACATAGTCCGGACGATAAGACTATTACTACTTAGAACATCATATCAAAGATTAGGTGACTGTCTAGTTCGATCAATGAAAAGTTAATCAGTATTTTTCGATAAATACATTTTAATAATTATTATTTATGTACATGTCGCGAAATAGGAAGGATCTATTAGTTATTGTAAAATGTTGATAAACGGTAACTATATCTTACATTGTACTCTAGCTATTATCGAAAGCATCATGTATCCTGTAACAGCTGAACAGCTGGTAATGTGTGTCCGACAACGTCAGAACAAGATAAATTCGCAAAAACAAGCTTCTGCTTCTTCTTCTCGAGAACCTACTGGAACAAATCACAAATGATATCATGAACTAAAAACTATAACTACTTGACTCGTTTGTAAAAACTGAGTGGTTATCGATCTGTGCAGTATTATTACATTATTCATGTAAATATAAAAACCAAACCTTTGTAAAAAATAATGTGTACAAAAACTATCTTTTTTTTCTTATATTTCCTGCAAAGTACATAGCAAAAGTTTTATTATGTTTTATATTTAATAGAACGGAACAGAAAACAATGGTCGGAAACACTCATATTTTCATAGTCAATAACATCATATGGTTGATCTGGGAATATATACACTTGCTTTAGTAGGTCCAGTTAATGAAACTGGATTCATTGAGGCCATTATCAAAGAGGTTACGTCCAGACGAATACGATAGGCACCAACAAGAACAACTGAATCATATGATGCGCTCTGAAATAAATTAAGCGAATCAGTGGATAAATACGTCTTGTCTAATATATTTTAGTTAGTCTAGTACAACATATATGTAAAGTTTATAGTGATGATAATGTATGTTTCTTGTATGATTCTAGTTTGTTTAGAAAGTTAAATCTGACTTGATGCAAGCACTACACACAAATTACAAAGACATTTGTATCAAAATATGGGATACCATGTTTTATTAACACTTTCTACTATTCATATGTTTGAAGCTACAAGTAATGAGATATAGTAACGACTAAGAGTGATAATTTGTCTATTTCCATTGCTACTCTACGAAACCTAAGCGCACCGATGTTTTATTACGTTCGGACTTTTTTAAGTTGTGGATGCAAGTACAATGTCAGATAGATTAACAAATGAGGATGTATATTCATAGGCCGTCATTAAGGCAGGTGATTTTTTTCAAGTCGCTTACTTTGCGCTTACAATTAACAGGTATGCACAATATTTCTCCTTAAGTAATATATGAGGTCGGACCATCAAACTACAGTACAAAGGGATGCTGAATTTAAACATGTTCGGAAAATCATACCTGAACTATTTCACTGACTGAAGGATCTTGCGTGCGTAGCTCTAGGCAGATAGTATTGAGTCCACCACTCCTAATTACAGTAGATACTGAATACACGCAAATACCAGGATACTCAGATGACAACGGTATTACTGTACAGTGTTTTTTTGTTCCATTAAAACTCAATGACAATGATTCCATAGGAGGCCCGGTGAGCCAGCAAGAGACATGATTATCCTATTGATAAAATGAAACAAAAAAGTAAAACATGCAGACATGTAATCTAATGGATGTTTTTTTCAACACGACTATTCTTAACCAATTTGTGCATATAAATTGAATATTAACTACTAGTAATATATATATATATATTCTCCCCTAAATAACCTGATACGAAGGAGAGAGCCCTCTTTAAGATTCTCTCACATAACCACTGCCTTCTTGTAGCGCGGTCGTTGTTTACGAAGTGAGTATCCAGCACTTAAACTAAGTTGATGGATAGAGAGAAACAAGTGTTAAACATGGGATCCTGAAGGGTCGAGTGGCACGTGAATCCATACTTGGTCACTACTTACTTCGGTTTCGGCACCTGGACAGAGTCCCAGCCCACACAAAAACGCGCTCCAATCCGGATTTTTACAAATTATGCTGACAGTCATTTGATATCATTCACTTCTATTTTACACTGTATCACTTGTCTGTTCCTCTTTACCCTTATTTCGTGGATTTTATTTTTTAATTCACACAGCAGTTCATCTAAGATGAAATTCTGTCCTATCTGGACAATCATCTCAAGTCACTGGCTGGTCAAAAGTTAGATTCATCCACTGAATACGAATTCTGAAGCCACGTGCACCATTCAAACTGGCATCCAACGTTTGCATACTAATGCCGATCTTGGTTATCTATGTTTGCAGAAAGTCTGAACATTGATGTTTACTGAGTTCCCAACTTCGAAATTAGTGAGGTACTATGCATCTGATCTTCAAATGTTGGTTCGAAAACCTTGCTTTACGTGCGTTTACTAAGGGACTCTGTGGTATCTTAGTCTGGTTTTGCTGGATATTGTTTCTCGCTAAGTGTCAGAGCAGAGGAAACACTAATCGATCCGGTTTTCACTAACAATTAATTTTATGCTTTTAGATTAGAAAGCTCCAAAATGAGAAATAGATGTAATAAACTATGCTTATGGTTTCAAAAAGGCACATTCTATGAACATTGAAGTGCTCCAGAGATCTGAGTGCACAGGCCGAGCGTCTAAGCACAAAGAAGATTCGTCTGGGTGCTCAATGGGGACTCGTTGAGTGCAGGTCAAGTGGCAACGACCGTGTGTTGTAGCTTTGCACAGACCACGACCTGCTTTTTGACCAGCATCAACTTTTCGCTCAATTATCGCTGATGTGCCATTTGGCGCCCTTTTTCTACCTTCCAAGCCTGAACTTAGATGAAATAAGTCGATGGCAGTCCATATTTTTAGAAAAAGTTTGGTTCAATTGTCGGGGGATAAGTTTACTTCCAACTGACTCTAAACTAGTGCCTTTCCTCATACTTCACGGATATGAAATGTATTGTGCACTAAGTGTAATGTACTTTTATGTGAGTAGCAGAAGCCTGTGTCTACATTCACAGTGATGACAGTTCAGTTAGTAGCACCATCTTTAAATACAGCTCCGTGGTTTGAACCTGAACTACGAATATCGTCCATGACCCACATCATGCATTGTACGTGGATGCCGAAACTGGTTGGGAAAAAGGATGGTACCGTGGCACAAAAGAAAGCTGTACAGCATTGGCGTCTGCTAGCCCTTCACGACTCCCCGGTTGGGATCCTAGAAATAGGGCAACGACAGTGACCTGAGATGTTGTCAGACATTGCTCAGAATAGGAGTCAGTGGCGATCCTATCGTAACTTTTTTACTTTCTTTGTGTAAGAGCGAAGAGCTTTCTAACTGGAAGAAACCTTTCTTAAATCAACTGCTTTCCTATTATTTTCCATTCACTCACTTATTGATTTATTATTTCTTTGTATAATACCTTCCTTTCTACACCTCTACATAATCTCATTTTCTTATTGTGTAGGGTATATTTGCACTAATATTTATGTTTCAATAATAACTTGGAAATTAGGTTGTTTGAGGATTCTGAACTAGAAGTTTAGAACAAATCAGAACTACAAATAGGATCATTTGTTTTTAACAAAGCTACTAAAGTCATTTGTGAACTCAATAGTACACAGATGGCTGTTTGAGCTTGAAAAACTATAATTTATTAGTTATTTATAGACAACAGAGGCGTTACACACGTCCAAAAAATTTAAATGTTGCAAATGTGTATTGTGAAAATAGCCCAGTAAGACTGACTATCTATTACTTTGAAAGCAAAACGTGACATTTAATTATATTAAATGAAAAAACGTACGGATAATTGTGCTCGAATTACATATACAAATATAAGCTCGTCGGATGGTGTTGAACCACTGGAAGATTCTTTACTTCCGGTTCGTGAACTGCGTGAACCATATTCAGGAGGTGTTTTAAAATAAAGGACAAAGCGACTAAGTTCTTCTGAAGAGAGAATTTGAACGGGAAACAAACTCAAAGATATTGTGTCTGGTAAATGTCCTGGTTCTACCAAAGTCAGATGGTTTGGTAGAGTCGTTGATACTATTTCAGCAACAGCTTTATCAATCCTAAACAAAGTAATTAATTATCAATCATTACAAATACTCTATGCAGTAAAAATAGTCAAACTGGTTTGCAATGCATAGAAATACTTTGCATCTTAGAATACTAATAGAAGGATTTAAAACCAAGATGTTAGCTACAATCAAATAAAATGATTTATCTAAACAGATTTGATTTGTTAATTGCATTTTACTGTTTGTAGCGAAAACACTATCCTCTATAGGGAAGGCTAAAATCTTGTATTTTGCAGCTCTTTCCGTAGGTACGTTTTGTATCTACCTGTCACTTCTACATATTCTTCGCTTTTCAGTATGTAAATTCTTTTCATTAAATTGTAAACGGTGTATGCATGCTTTATCAGTAAGGTAAATCTCTACGTACGTTGCTACATTGCATTGATATCAACAACTTGTAACTACGAAAATTACTTCAAACTTCTTTTATCCAGTTATTGAGAACAATTTTGTGATTAAAAATAAATAAACAGTCTAGAGTTAGATACTTACTCAACTGTTCTTTTTAGAATATCTTGTTCTATAACTGTTTGGTGCATTTGGCGAGCTAAATGCAGTGGTGATACTACAAAAGTATGTCCATCAGATGGCATCGGATTCGGATTAGCTCCATGGCTTAAAAGAAATCGTGCACAATGAACCCATCCGCGACGAGTAGCCTAAAAAGTGAAGTAAAAATGTTTTAACCTATGTATATTTCGAAAGGATTACATTAGAATGAAAACAACCAGGTGCATAAACCATAACAACTTACCCGGGTAAGGGCAGATTCACCATGGCAATTAATCGTGTTGACTAAAGCTCCTGCATCTAAGAGCAATGACAAAACAGTGAGATGGCCCTAAATAATTTAATTTAGAGAAAAATATTAGTTTCATCTACATAAAACATGTACATAAGTAAAAGAACAAAGCTTCCAAGCTAAAACCGCACTTTATTGTGAATGAACTTATTCCGTCTTTTCAATTTTATATGGGTTAGTTAAACTAATGAACATGTGGTTTAATTCAAAAATTTCACATACCTTGTACATTCGAACAAATAACTGGATGTACTAATCAAATGGTAGCTTATCATGGGTCATGCATTTATATATAGGCGAACTAGTGATACTAACCAGCTACCCAAACCGAAGTAGACAAGAGCGAATTCGGAGCTGTGACCCGATTGTAGGAATTCGAGCTCTCAAGATGGTTTACTTTGGCTACTTCTTCATCGACTAGTCATTCTGAAATCTATTAAGATAGTATACTGCTACATATGTCCATAGCAAATAAAAACAATCATAAAGTAGCATACTATCAACTTTCTTTCTGACAGTATGCTAATGAATGCAAGAAATATTTATGTTTACATTTAAGTATGTTTTTTATTTTCAATGAATGTTTTGTCGATATATATTTACCGTTAAACGATAACTTTTCATATATTTTGTTTGATCGAAATTCACATGATACGGAATAACAAAACATAATAATTAAAACAGTCATGAAACAAAATCACATAAACAAAGAAACTAAAGCACAAAGTCCGTCATTTTAGAATTATTAGATAATGGTGAACCTGTTTTCAGTTAGTAATGAGAATGTATGGTAGACAGGCTTATGACATTCAAACTTCGTGACTACTAGGTTTATCTCAAATCACTTAACAACCAAATTATTTCTAACCTTTATTTATTTTACTCAATATTTTCACGAGTGCAGTAAGAACCCAAAAATCTTAAAAATTAAGCCTTTAAAATGATCAGGGTCCGCATTTTACGATCACTGGTTGAATGTTCTCCAGTAAGTGTACACAAAAGTTCCCAGACTCCAACTTCATAACGTTGTGTAGCCATTGAACTCGAGCAATTTCATGAAGACTGTAATGGTCAAACGCGAATTCGTCGATTATTTCTCGCCTTAAAAGTCATTATGCACGATGACAGACATCATTTACGTGTCAAAAGCAATGGAAATAGCTTTGAGAGAACAAATCTATAAATCAACGTTGCAAAAAAGCGAAGCCCATTTATATTAGTGATTTAAAACAACGGCTTCCAATGCCTCTATATGAACCTATTAAACTGATTAGATGGATGGAACCTCATTTTTGCATTAATGGTTAGATGAGATATTTGTTACATGGAGACAGAGAGATTCATTGGTAGTTGTTATCGAAATGTAGTTTTAAAAGGCTCGTTAAGAAACGGGGTTCTTCTTTACCTGTTTTTAGTTAACTATTCAGGAGCAATCTTCATACCCAATTGCAAAGTTATGCAACAGATTCTAGAACAATTATTGTAGAAGATACATCACGTGATAAGAATGTTAAAAGTAAAAAATTCTAGGTTCAGGTGAAACGTAGGTCACGACAATCAATTTTATGAGCTGCTGTGATGAATTCATCAAGAACAATCTGAAAATCAATCAATTAGGTTCTCAACGTGACGACCTTTAAGTTAATGTATAAACTGCCAAGATTGGATGTACCAAGCATATTGTAGAGGTTTAAATCATATGGCTATCTTAAGAACGGTTTTCCGTTAACTAACAAAGAATAAAAAGCATTTGGCCAAGTTATGTTCTTTGAGCCGAGTGATTTAGTTGCAATGCTTTAGATTTGTTCTGGGTTACATAATTAGCGATTACTTTACGTGAATTGCACAATTAAACCACTTAATTTAGAGAACATAATCAAATCCATTCACTTAAGCTAAAAATCTTTATCATTTCAAAATAAAATGTTATATGACAGATAATTAGCGTTAGTAAACGTTAGACGATAATCAGGAAAACAATTGTCTTACACCATCAGCAGCATATATTAAGGGTGTAGAACCTTCGGTTGACCTTGTATTAACTGATGCACCATGTCTGATGAGAAGACCAACAATATCTGTATAACCTGAAAACCATAAAAATTCCAAACAGTAGGTTCGGATAAAACCTTACTTAAAGCACTATAAATATATTTCGGTTACGAAAAGTTGTAAAATTCGAACTTGCTTGAAATAAACACAACTCCTGTCAAAGTTACTTGATTCAATGTCAGTGAATAAATACTATTGAATATAACTGATGTACATTGTCAGCCAACAATTAACCATTGAAAAGTACTTAGAATCGAACTGCTAACGTCTTTCTAGACAGCATATAAATACATCACTCTTATAAAAGGATAAGGACGTGACAAGCAGAATAGAACAGAGTCCGATTAATTCACACAATTAATCAGTATGACAAGTCCAATTTAACACAAATTAAATTATTTAGAGTTAGTTTTTATCAAGAGTTACATAAACATACAATTAATTTATGATAAGCAATTGTAAGTATGCAAATATAACGAACTAAGTTGTACATACCTTTTCCAGCTGCCTTGCAGATAACAGGCATATCGGTTCCATGATCAATCGGTGATATATGTGAACATCTCAAGAGTTTATAAACTTTATCGGAGTCTCCAGAAGAAACAGCATACCGCAAAAGTTTCACTAGTACAGATTATTAATTATTGAATAGCTTACTCCCATCGGGTACTGTTAAAGGTGTGCATTGAGTGTTTCGCTGAAATGGAAAGAATATATTTTTCGAAATCAGTCAATACATGTAACACCAAATAGTAGGTATTATACAACGGCATCTGCGGAAGTCTCCTTAAATTCTAGAAAGTCATATAGCCATTATAAACGTTTGTATATATTTTACGTTTTCATTTCGATTTCATCTACAGATTTTGATGGACTTGCAATTTTTTATCTGACCATTTTGTCTTTTTGATGTCATTGGGATTCGCATTACCTTGTGGTCATATATATATATATATATATATATATATATATATATATATATATATATATATATATATAGCAAATAAAATGAATTGTTAGGGAATTTCGCTTATAAATGCCTGATACGTGAGATGACCTTGCTGGGAAATTCATTTCATTTGTCGTATAAATTAGTACGGTGAGTGAAGCTGATATATGTGTGTATGCGCTGCTTAACGTGTGGACTACTAACAAACAAAATATGGAATGCGTTTTGTACATACTGAGTGAAAAATCCTGATCCATAACGATAATGGTAAATTAATTCTCTCCAGCTACTGGGATTTGAACCACACTCCAGGTGTGACAGAAAATAATTACCCGGCTGCATAAACCGAAGCACAATGATCTATAACTAATCTAGGTTAGTAATTTGATGCTATGAAGTGGAATCGCTGAGCACGCTAACTAATTTTACCAGGATATCGACTTGTTGATTTAGAATATGACAATGATATAGTTCTACTTTGTGAAGACGTTGATAAAATACAGTCTTCTGACAACCTTAAGCCACAACACATGTTTAGGATGCGATCCTTCCCCTCGAAATGCAAAATTTTGCTTCAGGATTGGCTTGCATCGGTACCTGAACGAGTGATAGGAAGTGAAGTAGTTGAGCATGCCGACCGCTTCATTTACATCGGGGGTTTCATCAGTAATAATGGCCTGGTGTCTGACGAAATTTTAGCACGGATACAGAAAGCCCGACTGGCTTTTACCAACTGGTGTCGCTTATGGCGTAGGCGAGATATCCGATTGCTAGCCAAAGGACGAGTCTACTGTGCAGCAGTTTGCCCCGTCCTACTATACAGATGCGAAACATGCCCGGTGAGAGTAGTCAGTCTTCTGAATAACCGACTCAAGTCATTTTAAGTGGACAGGATATTCAACATTCTACCACGATAGCAATGTCGATTGAAAAGTGAAAGGAACTTAAATAACCGTCCTTGTGATACTTTGATGGTAAATTGTAGAAAGTTCTTCTAATAACTCCAGTGTCACCCATGAGTGGTTAGGTTTACCTTCAAATACAAAGACCTGATAGAATATATATATATATATATATATATATATATATATATATATATATATATATATATATATAGACGATTGATGCCTGTTAATCTTTTTCATTTTATTTTATTTGGTCACATAATTACTGGTACAAAGGGGTATCAAAATATTTATGCGCCACACAAACCACTAGGCTGGGATATTGTCCGGTTTCCACAACCGAAACACGCGATTTTCTGAGAGAGCCACTTCTTGAGCACTTGACCTACAGGTCTAATCCACAAGGCAGTGGATCAAGTCAAAAGATGGAGTTTCATAGTAGGCGATAACCAGCAGAAGGTTCGTGAGCCACTTGTCCCACCAGGATACTAGGCCCCATGTGAACCATTGGCTTGGAATCAGGGTTTCCCATCTCTCCAAGGTGAAGTCTGTACCGACAAACCCAATTTAAGCATTCACCCAAAGTTCGCTTGTGTACTTCAAAACAAATGACTAAATCAGAATGAAAATAGATCCAGAGGTAAATAGAGCTTTATTAAGTGAGACGCTCTTCATAATTGTGGTGATTACCCCCAAACGCCGTGGTTTGGCTGAGACTGGGGAGAGTTCGCTCTATAAATGTGCATAGATAAGCTTAAATTTTTAACGAAACTAATAAAATAATGGCAAATATAATTAATCTGCACTACAATAGCAAATAATACAATAATTTCTTCCGGATTGTTCTTATTATGATTTCTATTCGGAACTGAAGAGCAAACAGTATTCGTGATTCTTCTTTTCAAGATGAAGAACACAGCGACCAATTTGTATGACAAATTTGCTTCTATTGGCACATACCTAAAATCATTTGGGCGCTAGCTTCCGAACACCCAGACCTGAGATGTAATAACATAAACAGCAGGAAATGAAGAGGAACTAGGACCACCAAGTTTTATAAGATGCTTAGAAGTAATATTACCAAAATTGATTTTACAGACATTAATAAACTGAGACTTCGTTATCGTGCGAGAACGCAAGTGCAACTGAACAAGGATTTTTTCAAAACTTACATGACAAGCTAGACAATCATGGATGTAGATAAGATAGGAAAACAAGTCCACATATCGCAATCATTAACTACAACTCACTTAATATGGGAGAGTTATTAAAAGTTAGGGCATATTTCCCTAGTTGGTTTACTATAATGCAAATATCCAGACTTTTCAAGCCACACGAATCAACTTACTAGCTCCAAACGTGCACATCCAAGACTTGGACTTATGGGGGTTGACATCAAACTAGAAATAACTGTAAAAAAATTATTGCTGCAATCGAAACGAACTTGGGTGTTGTTCAGCCATCTGTATAACTCAGTGCTGAAAAGAGTGTAACACTAAGCCGTCTTCACATTTTCGTTTGGTTCATTAGCCCAACCCATAAGTACTAAATGTTTTATCAACAGTAGAGCGACAGTTTGAAAACACGGCAGTCCTCCAATATCCAATATATCCAATATTATAAACCAGTATTTTTTCTTTGCTCTCGATTCTTGTTCTTTCGTTACGGTTCCAGGTGTTCGGTAGTTTCCAATGAATGGAGGTCTAGCCACTCGACTGTCTAATTCTAGTCAGTTGACAGTTGGCTGTGAGTTTGTATGTCTCGGGATTTGAATGCAAACATTTTTTCAGGGCAGTAGGGTTTCTGGATACCAGCAGCAATCACATTACCAGGCTGGAAGTCAGTTAGTTGCAATGTGGAGAGTAATAAGGATAATAAGGATAAAATTCTAGTGCTCATATGGATAAAATTTCAGAACTAAGTAAATCAATAGATAGTTTAGTTTATTGATTGGTAGTGAAGATTGCGAGAGAAGACCAAATTGTAAGCAAGGGAAAGGAAACAGAGATAATAGGCGAGATAGATTAAGTAAAGGATCTGAGGAGATGGCAATGGTAACAACTAGCAGGTCTCAAGATATGCATCAGGCACAGCTTGTCCAAGAGGCAGATGATAATCTGTATGGGAGTACGTGATTATCAAGTCTCTTCTTAAAGCTGTCTCCTGAGGGCGCTGTGGTAACCTCGGCTGGGAGAGCATTCCAATTTGCGACGACTCTAATTGAGAAAAAGTGTGCACGAATCTGAGTATTCGCTCTTTGATGTGCAATCTTTCGAGGATTGCCTCGAGGGGAGTGGTAGTGATGCATCGGTAAGATGCTCACATTGAGATGATTTGACGTGCTTAATTTGTTGTACGGCATAATCAGATCACCTCCGATTCGCCTGTACTTACTAACTTACTTACTTACTCCTGTTACCCCCAATGGAGCATGGACCGCCCACCAGTTTTCTCCAGCCAATTCTGTCCTGGGCTTCCCTTTCCGCTTTTGTCCAGTTTTTGTTCATTCCTCTAATATCTTTCTCTATTTCTTGGCGTAATGTGTTCCTTGGCCTTCGTTTTTTCCTTTCGTCCTGAGAGTTTCACATGAGGGCTTGTCTTGTGACGCAGTTAGGTGCTTCTCGTAATGTATGTCTTTTCCACTTCCACCGCTTCTTCCTGATTTCCAACTCCGCTGGAATCTGGTTTGTTCTTTCTCACAGCAGATTGTTGCTGATGTGTCTGGCCAACGAATCCGGAGTATTTTGCGAAGAAATCTGTTAATAAACACTTGTATCTTCTGGATGATGCCTTTCGTAGTTCTCCAAGTTTCCGCTTCATACAGTAGGACTGTCTTGACATTTGTATTGAAAATCCTGATTTTCGTGTTGATTGATATTTGTTTGGAGTTGTAGATATTTTTCAGTTGTAGAAATGCAGCCGTTGCTTTGCCAATACGCGCCCTCACTTCTAAATCGAATCCGCCTTGGTTGTCGATGATGCTGCCCAGATATGTAAAGGTGTTAACGTCCTCCAAGGCATCTCCATCAAGGGTGATTTGGTTGGTGCATGTTGTGTTGCATCGGAGAATTTTGCTTTTTCCTTTATGTATGTTGAGACCTACTGCTGCAGAGGCTGTTGCTACACTGGTCGTCTTCTCTTGCATTTGTTGTTGCGTGTGCGATAGGAGAGCCAGATCATTTGCGAATTCCAGAACGTCCAGCTGCATCCCCGTTGTCCACTATATCGCTTACTTCCCCCCAGGTGTTGACCTCTCCATAATCCAGTCGATCACCAGGAGAAAGAGAAAGGGTGAGAGTAAGCAACCTTGCCTGACACCGGTCTTCACCTCGAAAGAGTCTGTTAGCAGTCCTTCGTGTACGATTTTGCAGTTGAATCCATCATAAGAATTCCGTATGATGTTAACTATCTTCTCAGGCACACCGTAGTGTCGAAGAAGCCTCTACAGTGTTTTTCTGTCCACGCTATCGAATGCCTTGTCGTAGTCGATGAAGTTGATGTAGAGTGGTGAGTTCCATTCAATTGATTGTTCCACAATGATCCGTAATGTAGCAATTTAGTCAGTACACGATCGATCCTTACGAAATCCGGCCTGTTGATCTCGAAGTTGGGCGTCTACGAAGTCCTTCATTCTGTTTAACAATACCCTGTTAAAGACTTTGCCTGGTATTGAAAGAAGAGTGATGCCCCTGTAGTTCTCACACTTGCTCAGGTCGCCTTTCTTTGGTATTTTGATCAGGTATCCTTCTTTGTGAAATATTTTCGTAGTTGCTTCTACATCTGCTTTCATTGCCTCTGCTGGAATGTTGTCTGGTCCTGCTGATTTGCCGCTCTTGATTTGTCTGATGGCCATACTGATCTCCTCAATCGTGGGTGCGCCAATATTAATTGGGAGATCCGTGGATGCTGCTTCGATGTTGGGTGGGTTCAGTGGAGCTGGTCGATTTAGGAGTTCCTTAAAGTGCTCTACCCACCTACTTCGCTGTTCTTCAGTGTTGCTGATTACTTTGCCTTCCTTACTTTTCACTGGTCGTTATGGTTTACGATAGTTTCCGGCCAGCTTCTTTGTTGTTTCGTACAATTGTCTCAAGTTTCCTTCTCTTGCAGCCTTTTCCGCCGTCACTGCTAGATCTTCCACATATTTCCGTTTGTCAGCTTTGATGCTCTTCTTCACTTCCCTGTTTGCTTCTGTTTATGCAGCTTGTGCGGTAACTTTCTCCGCTCTTGTCCGGCTGACAATGATTTCTGCCTCCTTGTTCCTCCTTTCTTCAATTTTTGCAAGAGTATCAACAGAGATTCATTCCTTGTGATGGTGCTTCTTGTGACCCAGAACCTCGTGACATGTTGAAGTGATTGCCTCCTTAATCGCTTTCCAGTTGTTCTCCTCCATGGTCCTTCTGAACGTTTTGTTGATACAGATTTGGTCAATTTGGTTCTGAATAGTGTGGTCCGGTGAAATGCTTGTCACTTTGTGTACGCGTTTGTACGGGAATGTTGTGTCATCGATTACCAGTTTGTTGAAGGCACATAGGTTTGCAAATCTCTCACCGTTTTCGTTCCTTTCTCCCATTCCATGTCGTCCCACGATGTCTTCATATCCAGTGTTGTCCATGCCAACCTTGACATTCAGGTCTCCCATAAGAATGGTCAAATCCTTTGGTGAGCATCTGTCAACGATTGACTGCAGCCTTTCGTAGAATTGATCTTTAACGTTGTCATCGTAGTCACTGGTATGTGCATAGCATTGGATGACGTTCATTGTAATGTCCTCTTTCTTTGTTTTGAAGGATGCTTTAATGATCCTCGGTCCATGAGATTCCCTTCCTATCAGTGCCTTTTGTGCATGCTTGGACTGCATCAGTGTAACTCCTTGTGTATGTGAAGCGTTTTCCTCTTCATGACCAGAGCATAACAGCAGTCGCCCTGAAGCTAGTCTCAGTTGTCCTACCCGTGTCCAATGCGTTTCACTGATGCCGAGCACCTCGATGTTGTATCGTTTCATTTCTGCCGCAACTTGAAATAGTCTTCCAGTCTCCCACAATCTACAAGCGTTCCATATATCTAAAAGAATGGTTGCTCTGGTTGTCAGAAGAGGCATCGGTCCCGTGACTTCCGAGGGAACTCGGCTTTCCTGACATGACGTCATTATTCTTCTTCCAACTCCCAGGGCAGAGTTAAAATGGTTTGAATTATTTCTTCTGGTTAGCGTTTTATGGCAAGTTAGTTTTTGACGGGATGGCGTCGCCTACGCCATGCCCAACCCTCCTCTTTTATCCGGGCTCGGGACCAGCAGCAGCCCCGAAGGGTCTACAGGCGGGGTTGATTCGCCTGTAGCTCAGTGGAGATAATCCCATGAGTTGGAGTCTATCGTCGTAAGGTTTATTTTTCAACCCTATTACCCATTCGGTTGCTCGTCTCTGCACTCGATCCAAGAGATTTATGTCTCTTTTGAACAGAGGGAGTGCGATAACTTTGTGTGCTTCCAAGTGTGGGCGCGCGTACGTCTTAAACAGGGTTAAAAACAATTGCGGGGTGATAGCACCAGGTTGTCTTCGCACAAAGTGAAGAGTCGCATTTACCTTGGCTGCGCCCCCTACATAGTTCGGACTCGTATGGAGGCTTTCTGTGGTTGTTGAACCGAGGTCGCGCTCTGAGGAGACATTAGGGAGCGGACTTCCATTGAAGGTGTAGATCATCTGCGTTGTGTGAGGCAGAATACGCATGGCACTTCTGTTGGTTGAGTTTCAAACCGTTATTCACTGCCCCATTTCTCAATAGATGTAAGGTCCTTTTGAAGCTCAGTCGAATCCTCCTCTCTAGTCTAATCCTATAATGGACCTCCAGATCTTCGTATCTTCTGCGTAGATCAATGCCGGTGAGCTAACTAAGTCTAATAGGTCGTTAATAAATATCAGGAAGAGAAGTGGGCCTAAGATGGTCCACTGTGAAACTCCTCATGTCGATACTCGCCAGCTCGCGTGCACTCTATTTACCTTGGTACGAAACTTTCTATTCTCAAGGTAGTTTCTGAGCCAAGATAGGAGTGGGTCAGTGAAGCCCATTTCCACAACCTTTACGATTAGGCGTGTGTGGGGTACTGTGTCAAAGGCTTTTGCAAAGTCGAGAAATATTGCGTGCATCGGTATTTTACGGTCCAAACAGGATGTCCAACCGTCCCATGTAATGAGAAGATTAGATGCACACGATCTGCTTTTCCGAAAGCCGTGTTGAGCTTCATGGAGTATTTTATTCCTATTCATGTACTCCCTCATTTGTTCGTCCACCAGCCATTTCATTACTTTTGACAGCGTTGGTAGTAATGTGACTGGTCTGTAACAGTTTGTGTCCTTTCTATCTCCTCCTTTGAAGATTAGAGAGAGAGTAGCTTGTTTCCAT